GGAGACTGGGAGTTCTAGTCCCACCTTAGAAAACTGGCTGGCTGACTTTGGGCCAATCACCGGTGTTGGTGAGTTCTAGTCCTGCCATAGGCAGGAAAGTCAATTGGGTGACTTTGGGCCAATCACCAGGAGAGTGAGTTCTAGTCCCGCCTTAGGCAGGGAAAGCCAATTGGGTGATTTGGGGCCGATCACCAGGAGAGGGTGAGTTCTAGTCCCGTGTTCGGCATGAAAACCTTTGAACCAGTTCCTCTCCTGCAGCTCTACCCACCTCGCAGGGTTGTTGTTCAGGGGGAAATAGGGAGAGGAAGGGATATATAAGGATGTCCGCCATCTTGAGCAACTTCTAAAGCAATAAACATCCATCCTTTTCCAGATCAGCCTTTCACCTTCCTGCCTCTTCTTCCTCCACCCTGCAGGTACGGCTACAACGACGTGGTCACCATCCCTGCCGGAGCCACCAGCATTCTGATCCGGCAGATTAGCAGCTCGGCCACGTCCAGCGACGGCATCTACCTGGCCCTCCGCCGGCAGGACGGCTCCTACGCCCTGAACGGCAACTACATCCTGATCCCTTCCGAACAGGATGTTCACCTTCGGGGCGGTGTCACTTTGCGCTACACGGGAGCCACCAAACCCATGGAGATGATCACCGGCCCGGGACCATTGAAAGAGCCGCTCACCGTGCAAGCTTTGGTGGTGTCCAATCAGAAGACCCCTCGTCTTAAATACACCTTCTTCGTCCCCAAGCCCACGAAACGCCTCTCCAACCAGTGGCTGAAACAAAAAGCCCGGATTTTAGAGGTGCTACAGAGCCGACGAGGACGCAAATAGGGCCTCCGGACACAAGGATGTGGCGCAACCGGGCCCGAAATTCGGCAAAAGGCTTGGTATTGGGAGGGGGGAGTGTCTTTTTTGTTTCTCGGCTCGCCACGGACAACGGACTTGGACGTTAAGTGAAGCAGGAGCCAGATCTGGGACCAGGGAAGCGGGGAGGAAAGGCAACCAAGCGGGCAGCAATGGCCACAGCGGGGATAAATTCAGCGCTGGTTTGTTAGGTTGAACGAATTCCCCCCCGGGAAGATTTGGCGGGGAGAATGTGGAAAGAACGGGGCGGAAAAGACGGACGAGAAAAAAAACTACAAAAGCCCCAAAGGAGGAAAATAAAGGCCTCGTTGGGACAAAACCGTGGAGAAGCCGAAGACAATTGGCAAAGCGGGAGCCGAGCTCTGCGGGTGGCTCAATTCTGTACGACGCCTGGACTTTTGGATGGTTCATGTCTGGCCGTTACCTGTAGTATATTTATTATTTCATCTATTTATTTTGTCCTTTGGGGGAAGCAGAGAGGAGCCGGGAAAGGGAGGGAGGGAGGGGAAGAGGCCACGCGCCCTTTGGGTCATCAAGCAGGTGCCATCGTTTCGCTCGGTAGCCCTTGACTTACGACCCCAATCTGCGCGCCTAAGCAACAGTTCGACGGATTTTACGTCCAATTTTACGGTCAGGGTGCGTACGTATGGTTTTAAAGCAGATCCCTGAAGTCCTTAAGCGAATCGGGCGGCCATTAAAACGAATCTGGCTCCCCGCATGGAATTTGCTTGGTTTTGACGGTCAAAAAATAGCGTCCATGTGATTTCCCCCAGGATGCCACAAACCGTCGTAAACACATACCGGTTATCCAAAGCGCCCAAATTTTGATCGTGGGGGGGCGCTGCGACACTCATTAAGTGTGCGAGGACAGATTATAACTCACCTGTCTTCTTCTTCAGTGATGTTAGGACTTGGAACCGTTGTTAAAACGAACGGTCGTAAGTCTAGGATTATCTGTATTGTAGGCCCACCTGTTTCTTGGGACGGCCAGGAAAGACGTGTCCATCTACTGTGTCTACCTCATTCTTGGAGAGCTTCCTCCTCCTCCTCTGCTACTGTCTTCTCCTGCTTCCAAGAATGTTCTCCTCTCTGGTTGGTGGGAACCCATCTCTTCAAGGTCCACCTTGCATCTAACTTCTTCCAAGAATGTTCTTCTCTCTTTGGTTGGTGGGAACCCATCTCTTCAAGGTCCACCTTGCATCTAACTTCTCCTGCTTCCAAGAATGTTCTTCTCTCTTTGGTTGGTGGGAACCCATCTCTTCAAGGTCCATCTAACTTCTCCTTGGCATCAGATAAATTGCAGAGTAGGACAACCCAACCCAACCCAACCCATCCCATCGAGAAGCAAGGGTTTCAATCACGCCAAGGAAAGTCCTTCAACCCTACCATGCTTTCAGATCTGGTTTCTCAACCCTTGAACTTCAAGTCATTCGACTTCCAAGACTTCGCCTCCCAGAATTCCCCCGGCCAACCAGTGTCCTCTTCTGGGTCTCATAACCAGCTGGGCCTGGTTGACTTGGGAGTGAATCCAGGAGCTCCATCCTAGGTCTACCTTGTTGACGTTCCTCCGGGGAAACTTTTGGGAGTTTGAAGTCCATCCTTTTTTTTCAAGACTTGGTCAAGGTTGAGGAACGTGGCTCCAGAAGCTATGGGTGAGATCCATGCGAAGGGTTGGGCCTTGAAGGACCTCTTGAATTGTGGAGGAGCAAAGCAATGAAACATCTGGAGAAGGTGACCTAGAATGGAGTAATTAGCTTTGCAGGCCAATGACCTTTGCTCACATTAGAATAGGAGGAGGTAGAGCAGGAATTCTGGGAGTTGAAGTCCACACCTCAACTTTGGCAGCGAACCCTGTCCTAGGGTTGTCTACCTACTTCTCACCTCCTTCTCCAGGAGATTGTCCTACCTAAGTGTCCCCCCTAAACTTCTTCCTACGCGCCTCGTAACACCTTTCCAAGTTCTTCTCTTTTGCTAACCACTCTTCAGCTTGACTCGATCTTCTCATGAGGGCTCCCTACCCAAGATCTCCCCAAAATTTCCCCCTGGAGGGGTGCATCTATTTAAACCCTCTGTAGAACCAGAGGGGAGCCCCTTCAACGCAACCTCACCCCCCTACCCCCCGTTTCTCCTGTGACCAAAGGGATCGCTGACCCTGAAGTTAATTTAATTAAGTTATAATTTAACGGGCAGCAGCCCAAGTCTACCTGGGCCTCGAGGCGAGTCCCCCGGGGCCAGGAGGCAGGGCCTGGGTACCCATTGGGTTAATAAGCATTATGTTAATATTATTAATTATGGTTTATTAATGGTTTGTTTTCTGAAAATCAATAAAAAAAGCTGTTTTATTTATTTAAGGCTATTTATACAGTTGGTCCTGATGCTTGCATGGTTCTTTGTGGGGAATGAAACCCAGGAGAGGGCGGAAAAGTCAGCCGGTCTGCTGGCTGGGGAATTCTGGGAGTTTGAAGTTCACACACCTTAGAGCAGTCTTGCTGAGGAATTCTGGGAGTTGTAGTCCACCCGCTTTCAAGCATGCTAGCTGGGGAATTTCTGGGAGTTGAAGTCCACCCATCTTTACAAAGGCTGGTTGGGGGATCCTGGGAGTTGAAATCCACACACCCACCCACCTTAGAGTAGGCTTGCTGGGGAATTCTGGGATTTGAAGTCCATGCACTTAAAGCAGTCTTGCTGGGGAATTCTGGGAGTTGCAGTCCACCCGCCTTCAAGCACG